AAGTAGTAATTCATTTATTATAAAAGAATAAAAAATAGTAAATATTATCCTTTCTCGTTTATTATATTCTATTTTTGTAAATTAAAAAATTTTTTCTAATACAATAACAATTAAAAATCAGTTTACTATTAGAAATAGCCTCTTATTCTTGTAAACAATACATATAATATATTACATCTAATTTATTTTAGTTTGGAAAATTAGATTACTCATAAATTTTAGTTTATATGGACCAAGTCTTTGCAGAAACTTATTCACTCAATGTCTGAATGGTTTTAAGCAATTGAAGAGAAAAAAATAGTCAACTAGACTGACGAGTGATCATTCTCAACTGTCACATCGCTTTTAAGTCGAACATATGTCTATTATGTAGATCCTAAGGATCTATGAATTCTCTGAAAAAAGTTCATGCCGCTAGCTTATTATTGCTGAGATATTGCCTTTTTAGTGTATGTTTAAGAAAAGGGAGCTGTGGCCCCCTCAAGAACACTTGAAAAACTGAATTTTGAATTTCGATTTCAAACTTTTCATAGATAAAGGCCTCAATCAAAATATTTTATTGTGAAAGTTTCAGCTTTTTTCGTTGTCCCTATCCTAAGATACAGTTATTGTAAAATTGCTCATATATATCAGCAGATCGGATGTTCTTATTTCCGACTAGGAACAACCAATAAATCTGAAACCTTCACAATAAACTATTCTCATTGAGGCCTATCAACATGCAACGTTTCAGCCGGAAACTCAAAACTCACTTTTGCTGAATATACTTCTATCATTTAAAATATATGTGAAACGATTTTCCTCTATAATTCCATACTATTCAACAAAACAAATAAATATATATAAATATATTGATAAAAATCGATTCGATTCCGCAAAAAAAGAATTTAGATCAAATAAATTGTTCAAACTTCACCAATTCGTAATTGGCGAATCGAATCGATTCATTTCAAATAAAAAAAGAAAGAACAATTTACTTTTTTTCAAAAAAATTATTCCTTGTGCATTACTTCCTTCTATTGAATTATTATCATATTACATAATTAATTCTACTGTTCGGTTCAAAAATTAAAGAGTTGATGCTTCTTTTGTGTATTCAAAAACTATTGAGGCCTATTTGGTCGATATGTTATTGTCTAAGATAATGGTTGAGCTCATAGAAAGGTTTTCAGAGCCAAAAAACTCGCAAAAATACTATTACACATATATGCAAGCGTAATATAAAATGTACAAGAATAAGGAGAGGTAGAAATCCTTAAAAGAAGATAGAACAGATATTATTACTGTAAAGAAACGACATATAATAGTTTGGCAAATAAACTTTTAACTTTAGGTCTTATTTATTTATAATGTGTTATGTTACCGATACGGTGAAATCTGTTCTTTCTTGTTATATACTGATTGTCGAAAACACAATAAATAGAAGTGGTCTGCAGTAAAAAAAACTGAGAAGAAATTAAATTGCGGCACATTGTAGGATATGAACACAATAAAAGCAATATTTATTTTTGTGCTTCATTATATTTGCCAAATGACTTTATAATTTATCGTCTATATTAGAATCACTGACAGCACGTATTCAAAGAAAATATCGGTTTTTTTCTGTTACTAATACGTCAACAAATAATCAATAGTGTTATATATACAGATAATCAAAGGTAACAACGTGATATTTATGTATAAATACATAGATGAGTAGAAGTGAGAATTGTATGTGAAGTAAATAAGTACTGAGTGTTCGTTTTATAAAGTCATGAATAGTCAATTCATATCGTATGTCTTTATACAATGTAATATGATTTAATAAATCTTTTCGAAAGTATCTATGGATGTAACAAATTACAAAGCGTATACAAAAGATATTTGAATATACTTACTGCTAGTGATAATTCTATTGTGAACGAAATATCATTGTTTTTTATGAATATAGTTGACTGTGATACAATGTTACAATTTACATCATTGAGTCATCAAGCATTGATATTCTTGACGAGATCAGTTACGATATAGAATTTACATAGGTGTATTTATATATATAAATATGTTTGAATTCAAGAAAGATTTATCATTTGTAATTTAATATGAGTCATTCAACATATTGCTTGCACGTAAAAAAATTTCTTTGCCTCAATTTCAAGAATTTTTCCTTGACTCAATAAATTGGAAGTATTTAATCTAGATGAATAATAAAAGCAGTTAACACATTGACAAGATGAACATAACCACACTGGAGTATCTCATGATACTCTAAATCTTTTTGTTTCATGTATACTATGCGAAATAATTTCTTCTCAACTTCAATACAGGTCTTTTCGTCTTAGTATATTATATATTATATATTAAATACGAAATGTTAAAATAAGCGTAGCCGAGAATATCACAAATACTGCTGTGCGCTATAACTGTTCAAAAGTACAGCTTATTCTGTTTGGTTTAATACAAATGATGGATCCAGAAGGCTTCTATCATTATTATCCTTTGTTCAAATAAAATTTCACGTTTATATATCTGTAACGATTTGTTTATATTTGAATCAAAAAGTAATAAAAGTGGAAATTCATTGTTTGAAAATATTTACGTATAAATCTCAATATTCACATAGATTATAGTTAATATATATTGGATGATTTTATTGATTATTCGATCGAACAACGGTTTCAAGAAAAATATAATTGTACAAACAAACAAACAAACATTGCTATGTTGGTTGATTTTTAGATGTGTATATTTTGATTACCTTGAAAAATATATAACAAGCTGTTCTCTCGATGAAATGTAAAGCCTTCCAATTACTGCTTATAGTTTATTACTCACATATTCTTCTGACATATTGAATAGAATGTTGAATGCATCAAAATAGTTTTTTTTTTAATACTTTCAATCTGTGCGTCTTTGTACATGAAAAATATATAACCAACAAAAGAGAAGACATTAAAATCGTTTGTTAATAGACAAAATATTCCGTTGTCACTTAATCGATAATCATCATCTGAAACGATATCAGGTTAATAGTTATTGATGATCAAGTGTATTACGTAACTTCCTGTTTGATGATGTTTATTCAAAGTTAACTCTTGAGAATGAGTATGTGGAACGATTCAGATATCAGCGATTGAGTGACACTTCTGAATTCGTTGATTATTTTATGTTGTAGAGGATATTAAATTTGCTATCCTTTGGAATTTTCAGTCTAGTATGCCATTGCATTGCGCTTCAATCTCAATTTTTTTCATCATCTTGCCTCAAGTAATCGAATTTTCTTCGACATAAAACCTTGTCACATAGAAGGTTACAAAATTCATGTACAATGTCCTGTACAACTATATTTGCCCTTCTCTTTCTTCTATAAAATCAAATAAAACAATGAACTAAAATAAACAATTTACTTAAATAATAAAAACATACCCACTGTTTATGAGATTTCTCCTTAATAAATGATCCAAAATAAATAAAAAAAACCTAAAGTAAAAATACTTACTGTTTATTGCCTGTGTATGATCACAAGACCTACAATAATTTTTTGAAAAAAAGCAAGATAACAAATATTTATTTGAATTAAGTATTTATCACAAAAATAGATCATTGAAACAAGTCTTAATCAAATAAAAATAAAATTTAAATCGATGATTTGTTTTTTTTGTAGACTTCGTATATTGCTCAAATTAAAGAAAGATTAAACGAAATATTGATTTCGGTTAATCAAATAATACTATTAAGATAATCTGATGAAAAATATGTTATATTAGAAAAGTCAATGACAAAACAATTCGATCGTTGTAACAAATTATTAAAATAATAAATAAAATTTTTAACCGAATAAAATTCTATTTCGATTTGTAGCAAACATAAAAAACTTCATTAATCAATATTCGAATTTAATCGATTCATGAATTTTTAATAGTTCTGTTTTAAATTCGAATAAGATTGAGTCTTATTAATTCGATAAATAATTGTTGTAAATATTCTTCTGAAGAACTATTGAGATGAATGTGAGATTCATTCAGAGCCGTAGTCAGATGGGATACAAGGAGTGTTTGTGCACCCTCATTAACCAAAAAAAAAATACCTGAAGGGGCGGGGTATGAATAAAAAAACTTCTTACGAAGCAAAAAATTATTTTGCTGTTACCGTGCAGCTCCCTTTTGAAAACTACTAGCTACGCCCATGATTTCCTTTGTAACATACAAAAAATAATAATCAGTTTTCAAGTTCTTTTTACATTAATCATCGATTAGAAGTTTGGGATGACACTCGAAAGTTATATATAGACTCAGGTGTTTTAAACCTACGCAACCATCCGATTTGTATGTTTTTCGATTGTTATTGAAAAATAATTATTCTTGTTATGGAGTTAAGGCATAAGTGCAATACATATTCTCTTTATGATTTATTCAATAATAAAGACACATCCTAAACTATTGAAAAAAGGTTTAAATAGTACTATAAAAAAAAAAATTGATTTCTTAAAAATATATTCCTTTGTACATTTTATTATTCGTAATATGGGCACTTGAGTTGTAGGTTTTTTAATGTTTCTTTTATATCACGAAGGAAACGACAATAAAAAGTTGTTTCAAGGTTCACAAACACTTACATGCATGAAAAATTGTCGATGCCATTTCCTTCATAATAGTAATGTTTATTTTATGCGTGATGTAAAATAAGAATTTTTTTTCTATTTGTAAATTATATGCCATATTGAGTTTAATGATTAATATGAGAAAAAGTAATAAATACATCCTAGTATATGACGATGTAATTTAATTGAGCGATTCGAGCTCATGAAACTGAAGCGAAATTACAAAGAAAAATTATTGAAGAATATTAACCATCATTACTGATATTTGCATGGATTTATATTTTTATGATTGACAAATGAAATCTTTCATTGTTTTACTATTCATTTTGTATTTAAATTAATAAGGATTTATTAAACGAAGAAGAAAAGAAATATTTGTTCAATTTTTTTTTCTTATATACAAAAATAAAATGTTGAATTTTTAATGTAATTTTTGTTGTTCAAGTTCATTCATAATTTGAGCAAAACATTCACTACCACCAAATAAACGTTGTGACCTTGTTCCTAATGGTATTTCATCAATAACTGTTGATGTTGGTGTTAATATTCTACTACGATATCTTCGACTATCAACTTCTGTTGATACGACAGATGAACATGAACTAATTTGTTTACGTAGTATTGATCGAGTATGATGACTACCAGCTAAACTATGTTGATGAAGAGTTTTTTGTGAACTTGATAAATCAAGATCAATTGATGTAGGTTCAGGTGTAATATCATGGCGATTATCAATAGATGATTCAGTATCTAATGGTCGAATTTTAGGTAAAATTCGTGCTTTTAATATAGCTGATCGCCAATGTGAAGATTTTTCTTTTCCTATGGATTGTGAATTTGATTTTTCATTATTAAAATCAACACGACGAAAACGTGGTGATGTTTCACGTTCAGAACTTTGAATAGCCGGTAAAACAGAAAATTTATTTCTTGTTGATGGAGATGATGCAGGTGAAACAATACTTTCTAAAAAGAATAACAAAATGAATCATTTTATTAGTTTTTTTGTTTTTTTTATTTGTTCTTTTTTTCATAAGTATTTAACCTTTGTTTATGGAAGTTACTGTTGTTGCTGATTCTGATGAATGTTCTCTTGGGAGAGAAGTTTTTTTCGATGTAGTTGTGCGAGTTTTTTTATGTCGTCGTCTTGATGATCGATGAGATATTTTAGTTTCTGTTATTATTGATGGATCACGTTGTTCATTATCAACTTCGAGTTCTTTTTGAAATTGATATACATACCAACTACATGTTGATACAAGTTGTTCAGCTTGTGTTGAATCAATACCCATTTGACATAAAGAATGTTTTAATAATTCATGTGTAAACATTGGATCACGATTTTGTTTTGATGATGCTTTTAGCCACATTGCATAATCAATATATTTAGCTTTTAACGCTGAAACATTTTCCGATACATTCGTTGATACTGTTGTGGATGGCATTGTAGTAAATGATAGAGAAGAAGAATGTTGAGAACGTCGTCGATTCGTTTTTGAAACAGTAGGTAAATGTAGACTAGATGGATTAGGTGGTGATACTAATCGTTTCGAAGCAAACATTTTTTACCTGTTCAAATAACAATAGATATTTAATAAAGTGAATATTCTGGACACAAAAAAAAATCTGCTCAATTTATATCGTACAGGATTGTTGTGACCAAACTATATTTTTTGTAATCGTCCACATTGGCAAGCCGTAAAAATACTCAAACATGAATGCTCTGTATTACTTTGTTTTTTTTTCTCTCTATTTCTCTTTGTCTTTTTTACTTTTACTATCGAGAAAGACGATGACGAATGGCTTGTGTTCGACTATGCACTCATCTTACCATTCAAATTTTGAGTAGGAATAATTTAAACTGTTTTTTTTTTTTTTTACTGTTGCTATTCTTCATTTCGGCTCACAAATCAATCAATTCAGAAGAAGAAATAGAAGAAAGTGAAACAGAAAAAAAATCATGCTAAATAAACATTACAAACGTATGTGCACTATATGCACATCATCAATGTACAACGAGAAGATTGTGATCCGTTGTCAATGTAGAAGTTCAATAAGATGTAACATAAAAAAAAGAAAGAATACTTGACTTTACTGTTGTAGTAATAATATTATACTAACGAACGTTTTGTATCAAAAGAAGGTTAGATTCAAGATAATTCGAAAAAAAAACTGACTTTTAACTACCTATAGTTTGTGTTTTAGAAATCAGTTAGATCGATTATTTAGTACTTACTTTCAGTTAAATAGTTTCTTTTTGTTATCACTATTCAAAATGACTACTCAGTTTAAGACGTAGTTTTTTTTATTAAAGACAAAAACAAACTCTTTCATAGCTATATGTATAGAAACAGAGAGAATGAGTAGGAGGATTAAAATGATTTTTTTTTTGGTTTATGTTATTGTTGGTTTATACGTAAAACTTTGTAAAACATGGAAAAAAAATTAAGACTACGTTAGTAATCATCGCTAATTTGTATGTTTCATTTGACTATCGATTAACGAATCAGTTACTGAACTTCATCTTGACTAGAAGCGCTGATTATAGACTAGAAAAAAAGTCGTATTTCATTATATTTGTCATGTTTTAAATGTCTTTCAAGGTAATTTAAGAGCTTTTATGATCGATGACTAAAATGAAACAAATAATCTTGTAACAGTACTTCAAGCAAAAGAGAGAGTTCGTATGGTGATGCACTATAAAGAAAACAACAAGGGAGAGAAAAGCAACGATATAATACAAACGCATTGTAGAAATAGAATCCTTTCAAATGACTTTGATTTAAAGACAACAAGAAAAAGCATGCTCATTTCAAGATTGCAAAACAATATGATAATATAATATCAAATTATATTGTCCTTAATGAACAAAGGTAATTCAAATTTACTATCGAAATACAAACAATATCATGAACTTTGAACATGAACTTAATGTTAGAAGACAAAAATTAGTTATTTTGTGATAGAGATTTTTAAGAAAACTCATTTATTTCATCACTGAAATGATAAATTGATAAAAATAAACGATGAAAATAAGAGAGACATTCTACTTCCGGAATAAAATAATAAAAACAAGCGACAATAAATAGATAGATTTTCTTTTTAATTTTAATAACTTACTCAAAATTATTTGCCATTTCGCGAATATCAATTTTTTATTGTATTAATATCTTCAACAATTTGACATAGAACACTAGATAATGTAATACGATGAATTCAATTAAATTGATGTATTTTTACGTGTGTTTTCATTTACGAACATAAAATTGAAATTTAAAGCCTGTCAAATTCAATCTCCATTTTTTTTTTCTAATGAAAATTTTTCAAATAGACAACAATCTAAAATATCAGCTTTGCGTTGTTTAAATTCTTAGAAACTTATAAATATCAAGTTTAAGAAAACTTATTATGTGACATTAATGATTTTTAAAAAGTTCACCAAAAATTTCAAAATTTTAACCATTTTCTGATAACAATTCTAATAAAAACTGTACTTACAGTTTTACTTTTAACTAACCGCAAATTAATAGAGTTCGCTTGGCATAATTGTCACCAGGCATGTCATGAACTTGTTTTCTGAGCTTGAACACACCATCTAATTGTTGTTACACTAGTATCAACTATTGAATGGATAAAATCTACTTGGGATGCAAGAGCACATATATATATACAAAAATCATAAATACAGAAAATGATGTTCAAAAACAAATGCGGCTTTGGAATACGAGTGTAGTAAAGTGTCTTCGTTCCATGCACACACACACCTGTCCGCATACCTTGCACCTGCAATGAATGTTGCGTTACCACTATAAATTATGATAAAATCTTCTGGAAATCTAGCTGTGATTTTGATTAAAATTCTTCTCAGTTAAGTCCAAACTGATGAATCTTGATCGTGTGTTATGAGTATTAGGTTATCAATAAGAAAACAAAATCAGCTAGTCAATATCTATCGAAAATATTTAGTTCTCTTCCAATAAACTCATCTTATATATAGCCGATAATAATAGTTTATTTTAAGACATAGATTATTTTCAACACCAGTGATTATATGCATATAATTTTATTTCACATAACACTTGATAATTACTATTTATAGAAAAAGCATCGTACCATTCTTTATATCATATACACTTCTTTACATATCATCTGTAATCTACTTCAATCGACAATTAATTTGGTTAAAAGCTCATATTCTCTATATATTTCATCCCATCGTTTAAGATACAAAAAAAAATCTATATTGAGTATACACTCATGTCATCAACAAATTACGATAAGTTTTCTCACAACGACAATCTTCATTCAACAAAAAACTTATCTCTTCCATAAATTGAAGCATCTTTACTAAAGACACAAACAGCGGTTCTGAAAGGATAAGATCACAATATCCTTGCAAAGCACTAGGTTTTTTGAACTTCAGTCTCAACAGTGAAGTTGCTTCACAAATTATGACAGGAAAGTTTGAATAATCGATTGAGTATTTTCAATCTTATGGAGTTCGGAGTGAGAATCAAATTTCGCTTATTAACATTAGACGTTAAATAGGACGCGATGAAATTATATTGACTCTTTAGTTAATCTTATTTGGAACCTCTAACGGATCCATGACCCTACAATACAATAGACATACAATAAAATTGAATGTCTTATTGTCTCTGAGACTATATATACGTAGGTGTAGAAGTGGTTGCATCTGTTTTGGTAACGACAATTCGGAAAATGTTTTCGGCATGATGGATATCAGGTTAGTTTTATGGAACTTTTACAATTTTCCTTGTAAAATTTTATCTATTGTACATTAAAAGAGAGCAAACAGTACTTGAAGTGTACGTTAATTAAGTGCACCTTAGCAGAGGTCTCATGCTTGATTTTAGTGTAAATAACATTCGGAGTGACATGTATGCTATATGACTATATAGCATACTATTTAAAATATAATAAAATCGTTAAGTTCTACAGTGTTTGACAACTGATTGGCCATAGTCGTTTACATTGTATGTTTCGAATGCTTTGAATTGCTGTTGATGTTATAGATTCATAATCGATAGTAAGCACTTAGTGATTTTTAAATATCTTTCAATCTTCAGAGCTGAGGTAATCAGTCACTTTATTTCACTAGTCTCCTCAACACAAATAAAGTTGGCTTTTACTTATTCTATTCTTCTGTTAACACCAAATAAATAGAATTTGAGGAAAACAACATAGTCTTATGATTCTAAGCTTCATCTAAGAAGAAGATTTTCATATTCCACTCATTCACATCTCTTTCACCTACCCATTCTCACCTGTATTCGGCATCGTCATCCTGACTGATATACCTCATCTCCATATTAGGATAGTGGTCACTTTCTATACTCGAAAGTTGAGTTTCTAGGAATCGGATTTAGTGAGCACCTTTGGATAGTGAACGCTTTGAATAGTCCCAACCGTTTTCACTATAGAAAAACTTCACTGTACGTTATGCTGTACACTTACTGCTAGTTGCTAGTGCAAATATGAGTCTAAATTAGCTGCTACATTGTAATAGGTTTCATTAGTATCAGCATCAACAGCATTACTACAGTCATAGTACGAAATAAACGGCAACCATTCAGTGCAGAAAAATACCGATCAATTTCTATCACTTACAAGCAAATTAACGCAATTGTAACTGGTTGTTCGAACTCATATTAGACTCGCATGGAAGTCTTAGTAAGACTGGAGAAAAACTAAAAGAGAAGGCTGCCATGCGTATTTGGAGGCAAGTTAGAGCTATTGTACTGAATTTTGAACTACCATAGATAGTTCGAATGGTCCTTAGAATAGTATGAAACTTTTGGCCTAAGAAAAACCTTCATTGTTGAATTATTCAATTTCAGACAAGATAGTTGTTTGCCACAAACATGTCACAAAACTCAAGTGCACCTGAAAATTCGATCAAGGAATATTCTTTCAGGCTAAAATTTGCAGAACATTCTAAAGATCATTAGTTGTACCGACGAACGCAATTTCATATCGAAATTTCGTTATTTTATTTTCAATAAATACTTAAAATGAGTGAAACATTCAATTAAACGACTATAACTCGGCTTCAAAGGCCTATGAGTACGAATTCCTTTTCAACTTTATGTGATCTTACGAAGACTTCTTATCTTCAGTTGGTGCTAATAAGTGAAGGCGATATCTAACACAATTATCGAATAATTAATAATGATATGAATAAAGTGGTAACTCGAATGGAAGTAAAGGAGTAATTCACTAATCTAGTTATGGGAAATTTTTGTTCTTCCGCTGTAGAACAATACTATTCTGTCTTGACAGAGAGAAAATTTTCGCACTTGTCAAGCTTTCTTTGAAACTTGCAGAAACTTTATAGTAGTCTCATTTTTCAGAACTGGAAATAGACCATATCGCAGTAATCAGAATCTGCTTATTATTCATTTAATTAGAAATTATCAAGTCTTGATGTGTTATTTGTTCTGTGTTGCTTATGTATAGATTAATATTTACCACTATCTAATATGACGATTTTTACAATATAGAAAATTTCAAACAGATAATTTTCTTTGTAACAGTTTTTTAAATCTCTAAGTTAGAGACTTACAATCCAGTCTAGAAATATAATAAATGAACTCAAAGATAAAAACTGCTGCATTATCCTTGTTTAAAAATTTTTATTGATTACTGGAAATTACAAGAAAAAAAGCAAGTCCATATTCGCGTCTATTTTTGTTTTGTTAATAATTATACAATAGTTAGTAGCAAAATTTACATATTTTCGTTTTTATTTAGAAATATACTGCCATGTCATTTGCTTCGGATGTAGTCTGATTCCTTTGGTTTGGTCTTAAACTTGCAGAATTAAGACCAATACCCCACTGTATTATACAGCGTTTTGCAACGTCTCGCTGTCGATATAAGACGCTATGTATACGATTGTATTGACTGGATGATAGTAGATCCTGTACTTCGGTTATGCAACTATCTAATTGATCATTAGTAATTGCTGCAAAACGATTTAATGTCTTTTTTATTAAAGCACGATCTGCTATGGGTAGCTTGTTGAGATATTGTTCGAATTTTCTTGCCTTTTCTATTGGATCAAATGTAACTACTGAAAGATGGTTACTATGAAACTTGCAAGCTATAATACTGATGACATTAAGTTTACCCATACCAAAGCAGGAAGCATGATCAATTAGATGCATCTTCAATTTTGTATTATCATCATCGATTGAATCTGTTTTCGATACTGTTATTAAAATATTTCGTGGATTACGATCAACATTGTGTACGATACGATCGAATAAATCCATAGATTCCAACAGTGGATTAGTCAATATTTTTTTTCTTATTTGTTTCGGTAAGTCCATGAATGTTATAGTTTTTTCATTTTCGTTAGCAACATCGGCATGCAAAGTTACCAGTTTATTTTGATAAACTCCAATCTGCACCTCATTAATAGGTAAACCAAGTAATCCTCCTAAAGTATAAGCTAGTCTTTCGTTGGCAGCGCATAATGGATGGTCTTGTGTTTTGATTAAAATTCGTTGACCTTGAGGATCACGCATCCATATAGATACACTACTGAATCCTCGATCAGCATTCTCGCCTTCAAATGTCCAATCAGATGTAATTTCGGCAAATGTTGGCTTAACTGAACTACTGGTAGTTTCTTGTTCTACGGCATTTTGTTTTTGCCTAGCCAGTCCGTGCTCCACAGCTTTTATAACAGCATCACTGATACGTATTCCTTGTGCGCATAGATCAACTGCATGCATGGTACCATCCACCATTACCCTAAAGGGACCTCGTAGCCAGCGAACAATATTGTTGGAGAAACGAATCTTCTGAGTAGTCTTTAATGTAGTGTCAGAACCGATAACTATCATTGTTTCTTCTGCATCTTCTGCATCTTCTTCATTATCGGCTTCACTTACAACAAGTTCATTTTCATTTGCATCTAAACCTGATTCATTCTTTTGTCGAAGGATTAGATCAAACAGTACTGCAGGATCATCTGCTTGTTTTACCACTCTATATTTAGAAGTATCAACAACAGAACGTAAAAGCATCTTTTTGCTCTGTGATACAAAATTTATTAACGGTGATTTTATTTTGTCAGATAGATTGTCCGACTGAACTTTCATATCTTGAATACGTAATTGTTCTTGTGATTTCTTTTTTTGACTATAATTATAAATTTTTTCTAGTTTTAATTTTAACTCTTGAATGTCTTTCTTTAAACGATCAATATCATTTTCAAGATAATTATTCCGATCATGCTCTTTTGATCCATTTATCATTGTCATCAAGTGCTTTTTAAAATCTTGTTTATCGTCATTAATTACATCCTGTAACTGCTCTTGTATTATATTTACTGTCTTGTCAATTTCGTCTGATTTCATTTGGAATTCATAAATTTGTTTTATTAAATCTAATATGACATCCGCTGACATTGATGATAATAATGACTTCAATCCTTGACTCAATTTATCTTGTGTATGTCGTATATTTGCAAAATCTTCTTGAAGTTTAGTTTGATGTTCCCAATAGTGACCGATACAGTATATTTCTCCACATCCTTCACACTGATGCGTAGCTAATTTTTCACATTTTAAACCATATGCACAACGTTCACTCCATGATTCATCAGCCGTATTTAATGAATTCATTTTTTGAAAGAATACAAATAAATTAGATCAAAAGCTGAAATAAACAAAAGTAGAAAACAATGCACGATATCGCAGTCTCATGTAAATGAATTTCTAGTTCCAGTAACTAAAATAAAGAGTGCGAAGCGATTTTTAAAAGCGTAAAAGTTGATAGAAATCAGCGAAAAACTAAAATAGCTGTAAAACAATCTGAGACTCAGAAACTAAAACAAACTTCATGAAATGAATTCGGGTCATAATCATTCTCACTCTATGTTCAGATATTGAATTGTAACGATTTGCTAATTAAAATTAGTTCTTTAAGTCGATTTATTACTGATTCGTGAGTGAAGAGTAGGAAGGCAATATAATAGATGAACAGTGACATATGGGAGCATCTCATGGAACCAAGAAAAGTTAAGTCAGTGAAGACCATCCCAAGAGAAATTCAATAAATTGTCTGATAAAATATATTCACAGAAGAAAATTTGCCCTACAGTGAATGTAATGATAAGTGGTTATTTTATTTAGAAATCGATGTTCGACTTACAAATAAGTTCCTAACGTATGAGTATGTAACTGATTTATAACTATTTTAAATTTGAAGTTTTACAGCAGTTACTTGTTAAAAGCTTTTTCAAAATTTCTAAACTTCTTTCCCTTTTTAAGCAATTGCATACTTATACAGAGAATCTTGTTTAACTCTATCAAGACAAAGCGCATATATATATATATGTATAAACAGTTCGAAAATTTTAATAGAAATGAAAAAGAAACATTGCTGTTGAGATAAATAATTCATCATTCAATCGCTACTTATAAATACAAAACAATTTTCATTACCGACGACGAATATTCTAAGAAAAATTTTTTTTTCCATGATATGAATTTTAAAAAAATTCAAAATATATGAAAGCGATTATTACAACGGTCTAATTTTAAAATTATAAATAGGAATTTCTCGTTCTTAACTATACCATAAAGTGGATGACCTAAATGCCATCACAATTTTTAACTTTTTTGTCGATTAACTTTTCGTATGACTCTAACCTGAGGAATGAGACGAGAAAAGACATCTTTTTTTTCTACTTAAGGTATTTGACTAATTGTGTCGCAAACAATTTTGTTCAAATAACATAAATCAATACTAGATTAGTCAAAGTAATGATGCTGTTCATCCATATTGACAGAGAAACATATCATCTCTGCTTGCGATTTTCCAACGAAGCTAAAAACTATTTATTGAATCAATGAATTTCTGTCTTATGACAGTAACTCAAACACAACATATAATAGTATATATTACACGTGTTTGTTCTATAGTTGCATAAATAAAAATGAAGCTAGTAATATAAAAATAGTTTCCAGAAAGTAGATGGAACATCCTTACTGACGTGGTTTTCAAAGACAGTTAAAAAGTATGCTAGAAAAATACTTTAACAGATATTTTGACAGATTATTAGAATGGTTCGAATTTTTTATGAATATTCATGAGAACTATGTTGAACATCTTATTAAATAAAACAAAAAATATCTCTTTGTTTTTCTATTCATTGTTCTTAGAGCTTTCGGCTAGAGGTGTCAATTAATGTTAACCTTCACTTTAATTTATACGTAAATTAAATTATCAGTAATTTAAATTTAAAAATAAACTCAAATTATAGACAGTTTAATTTGCTTTAAATTTAAATTATTTTCACCTAACTTAATATTTCTTGAATTTATATATTAAATGATTCTATTACTTTTTTATATTTCGTCCGAGTCAGACAAACAATGAAAAAAGATGTATCAGAATTTTAACGAAAAAAAATTGTAAAAAAGTGCACATTTTTACAAGTCCAAAACACGTTGAAAGTTCCAAAGGAATATATGTCTGTTCAAAAGTTTAGCATGCTATAAACATCTAAAAATGTGCGCTTTTTATGATTATTATTTCTGTTAATATTGCAACGCGTTTTTTTCGTTGTTTGTTTGTCTTGGATGAAGTATTAAAAAGAGATAGAATGATTTACTCTAAAATTTAAGACATTATGAATTAAGTGGACATAATTTAAAATTAAATTACTGATAACTTAAATTCGTTTTAAAATAACACGAAAATGACACCCTTAATTTTGAGTAATCATAAGTATAAATCAGTTAGGGATGGATTCTAAGATTCCCAAATTCTAATAATTACCACTCGGAGAACCATAATGAGCGAGCGATGTATTCGTATCGATCATCTACTTCAACGGCACATACAAGAGTGCATGAATTGAAAGAAAAAAAAGTTGAATTGAATCTGCTGAAATAATCGAACATTAAGCCACAAAAAGCAGTATAATGAACGGAAATTGAAAAAAACAAACGATTGAAATATGAATTCAAAAACTTACAAAAGGGAAATATGAGAAGTCTATTCAACTTACGTTAAAAAGTAACAACAAGTGAGCACCAACAATATGGATACAGACTCTAGCAAAGACAAAAAGCCACTATAGCTTAGAGGCCGAACCAAAATACTTGATTAACCTATTGTTGATCGAAATGCATGCATCATTGATCTAGCGTCATCTATCTAAATACGCATATCACCAATGTGACTCATCTATAAACACACGTATATCACCTATCTAACGTCATTCATAATAGTGTATATCATGCTTGCTATTTTTAGTTATACTATAGGTTTATAATCCCTAACCTTTCATCCAAGGAAAGAAACAAGAGTGTACATTTTGCCATATATATTATGTGTGAGTAAGACACTAATTTTAACACTCAAACAAAATATCTATTACATCAGCAGTTTATTTGAGGTTATTCGGTGAAAAATTAGGAGAGAATAAGCCAGGTTACTACTCTAAAATAGACACTCGAGGCTCTTCAAATTTTAGATTTTTATTTTAGACAGTTATTTCACTGGCTTTAAGCTGAAAAGTTTATTGTAAATAGGTTAGATCTTTCACTTGAGTCTATAAAGAGTTACACAGGTGGATTACATTATTTTTTACAGTTTTGTTTAGTTTACTGTTTTTATACAAAATCTTGAAGGTTTTTTTTATGAACATAGGTGGATAAAGTATCAATTACTATATTGACTCATACATTTTTATATTTGATTTACTTTGTGTCTTGTCCAAAACTTTGATAAATAGTTAAAAACAACCAAAAAAAATTTTTTACCTAGAAATTTTCGGATTATATCACTATTAATTTTTTCCATAACTAAGATCTACTGCAGTACTGAAAATTTTATTTATATATTGAACAATAGATCGTGTTTCTATATCAAACTATATATTTTTCATTGTTTATTCTTCATCTTTCCTACAAATTTATTAATTTTTCTGAATCTTTTCGTGAATTTTTTTGTAGGCTGTTCTCTTATTTTTCTCAAGGAAATTTTAGTTACTACAACATGTGAATTTATTTTTTCTTTAATGCATGACTCGATAACACATCAAAATCTGTATCGATTTATATAGTCTTGATTAAATCTCTATCAGATCTTACATATAATATTTTGCATAAAATACAAGAATAACCCAAATTTTAACAATAAAATTCACTTTACTCTTTTATTCCAAATCTGCTTTGCTTTATACTTTCTATGCTTTCCAGTTTGATGCTTCTCGTTCATCTAAAGAAGTTTTTGTGATTAACGAATTCAGTTTCAATAAAATATACGCGTGCCAAAGTTCCGTTTCAATGTTTTTCAAAGTTTATCAAATTTTCGAACAAGATCAAAAATAAATCAAATAGATTCTCTATGATTCGATAGAGTAATCAATGTTTTATCTAACTATATCAAAATAAGGAATAGAGTAGGTTTTATATAGACATAACAAACTGAACAAAGATATCAAAAGAAAAACGTAATCAAGCTATATATTATTGGAGTTTTACTTTTGACTGACGTGTGATACAATGAGAGAAATGAATCTTGTCCTAGGATGTTCGATATACGCTCGTACATCTGATATAGATATCTCGTCAAGGTTTCATTCCAATAATTCTTACAGCTCGATTATAGATACAGTATTCGCTACGCTTTCATATTAAATTGTCAGTATTTCAAAACAGCATGTTAGTGTATGTAGAACGTTTTCTACATACACTAAGCATAAAATGTTAAAGAATTTCGAATACGAAACTTTACGATTGTGAGTATCAAAGATTGCGGTAGATGAGAAGTTGTGCCACTCTTGAAATCTGTAATCTTCGATGCTGTTTTCACAATAGACTAAACAAGTGTCAAAAGTCATGAGTTATAGTTCTAACCACTCGTTAGTGCCATTCACAGTAACCTCTGCAACTCTACCAAAATGTTATACATTCGTAAGGACTTCTTACGATAGTCATCTATATTTTAATCAGCTAACATCAACGTTAGTCAAAATCCTACTTCGATTCTTTGAGCGTCATAAACATCACCAGAAACTTTGCCTGAAGCAATTTTTCTGAAAGATTATAAGTTAGTATGGTCCATTAAAATATATGATTATTGTATAAGACTTTCGCAAATATATCGCATTGTAATGGAGTTACAGACGTCAGAGTGGACAATTTTGATGAAGTGTTAGATCTATAATTTAGAGTTTTCTATATAAATCTGGGTAGTCATGAAAACAGCATTAAAACCTGAAAATCTCAGGACCGACATAACTTTCCATGGTCTGTAAATTTCGATGATCAGAACCACAAATTTTCATATTCAAAATCTTGTAGTATTAGTAATATCTTTATAGAATCTTCTAAAAAGACGCCAAACTTTAGCCTATCAAAATATGAAGATCGTCATTTTTCTGCTATAGTATTAAAAAAACCAGACTTTTTCATCGAGTTTCGTAATACGATATGTTCGGTTGACTGATAAAGTTGAATTTGTTTAACAGAATTTAATTCTATAGTTCTATATTACTGAATATTACCAAAGTGGTCAAATTTTAACAAACGCTCTGATTAATAAATATAAACGGCAAGGTAATGTTTCATATTGAATTATCGTTTATGTTACAAATTTTTTTAGACAAAGGCTAACAAACGAATACACTATATATCACCAGATGTCTGAAGAAGATATTACCATCTGCACCGACGATGATACAGAGTTTTGGGAAGGTCAATATAGGGATGGTTTAAAAAATTTACTTATTATTCTATTATGTATATTGTGCAGTACGTTAACTACGTATCTTATAAATAATCCTTATGGTAGCTATATTCCAATCATATTAATAGCCATCTTTGAATGGCATAGATCCTATACACGACAGACACGTTCATATCTTGGTTTATGTAGATTATTATTATATTTATTAGTTATTAGTTTATGGGTTGTATTTATATTAAGACTGACTATTCAAAGCATTGGTTTACTATTAGGTTATCATCATATACCAATGGGACAAGTTCAACACTTATTTCCATATGCATTAATATTTACTACATTTGCTAGAAATAAACATGATATGTCTTTACATGATAAAAGACGTTATATTATACATTTATTATATGACTTACCAGCATTTTTATTAGTAATAATTTTCAAGTTATTGAATCATCCATTAAACTCATTGTATAGTCAAATTACGACAAATTGTTATTTAGGTTGTTTACCTACTGCTGCTGATGTAAAAATGTTGAATAATATTGGAATTCAATGTGTTGTAAATATGTGTGCCGAATATAGGGGTCCACGTGAAACATATAAAAAATATAATATGAAACAGTTGCATTTACCAACCATAGATTGTACCGCACCATCACTAAAGACAATAGAAAAAGCAATCAAGTTTATGAATGAAGCATATACAAATAATAAAAAAATATTTGTTCATTGTAAAGCTGGTATGGGAAGAAGTGCAACCATTGTGTTATGCTATTTGGTTGCCAATGAAAATATGTTACCAGAAGATGCATTAAAATTATTGAAAGAAAAAAGACCTGAAATAACAACTAGTATTATCAAATATGCACCTGTGAAACAATTTTTAGCTTCATTGAAAAGAAATAAAGCACAATAGATTTTGTCTATTGCTTTTCTATTTATAGTCATTCATAATCACTTGATAGTTTATTTGCCTATTTTGGTGCATAAGGCAGGCATAACGGATGTATTCTTAGGTTTGCACCTAGACAAGTTTATTTTATATAAAGACTGAGAATGGCTAAGCTTGGGTATGTGAATTTGTGGATGTAGATTAAAAGAAGGCTCAACATACGCACGAACATCCATCTTATCAAGTGAGATTTGTTGATTCTTTATTGTTAATTCGATATTTTTTTAAAGTAGTAGTAATTTTTATATAGTCATGACATACACATTTTTGTTTATGTGTATGTTTTAAGGGTTTTCTTATTTTTTTTATTGCTGTTTGATATAAGTTTTGACCATCTTAGCGAATGTAAAACATAACGGAAATCATGAATATGATGTAGCATAAAAGCATAATAGCTATCAACAAAAAATATAACCATAAAATATTGTTCGATCTTTTAAGATGTGCTACAGTGAAGGTTTAACAAAGAAAAACAAATGAATAATCAGATTTATACCAAACTGACAATGAAAACTTGACATTAATTATAGCTTTTTTTATACGTAGATTAAATTAAATTAATTTTGTATTGAATGCTTATTTTTCTGCCTTCAAATTGTCTTTATATATACGTAATTTTCTTGGATCTCATGATTTTACAAAGTGCATACAATGTGTAGTTAAGAAATTTGTGAATAAGATCGGCTTCCAAAGCATCCTGAGTGAATCTTTTCAAACTATCAAATATTTTTTATCCAAACGTCAAAAGAAACTTGAATTTTTTTCATTCAATCTTTGATAAACATTGGTCCTGACTTCTGCTGTATGAGAGAAAATTTTAAAATATATGAAATCTGAAATTAGCTATGTAGGAATCATTAAACTTTATCTCCAAATTATAACAATATACTAGTTTCATGTTCTCAATTAGCTACCACAAACACTTATGAAATATATTGGTTACTTTTTCTAAAGCAAAATAGAATCAAACTATCAATTCTACGCTGTATTAACCTTTGAAAGTCGAAAGAAATTTAGTTGACAATGAGAAAAACTTGATCACTAGATGACAACTTCTCAATTCTCAGTATGAATATGGAATTAAATCACGAGATTTTTTTCTTTCTTTCATTTGAAAATATACTTTTTTATCTTTATAGAATAGAAAATGAGACAAACCTGTCAAAACAGTCTTTGAAATGAATCAGAAAATACTATCGATCAAAATTGATCTTTTCATGATGGTATACCTACCATGTAATTAGAACTATTTAAGTTAAAAGTTTTATCTTTCACACAGAGATCTATGAATCAGTTAGCTTTTCCCAATCATTTTTAAGTTGTATGATAATAATAAGTGATATAGATAGATTCGAACTGAGATCATTTTTCTTTTGAAAGATGTGCCGCATAATTATCGTTGAATGCTTTTCCCACTCTTCGTCATTTGATATGACATTATGAACAAACTAAAGATAGAAAATAATTCGACAAATTGATATCATCAATACATATTGAATTGAACAGACGATTAAATAATATTTCATTTTATCTTCTCGTCAGTATTATTCACAGACTGTTGATTGTGAAATATAAAAGATATTCACTCATTAGATGTTTTCATTTGAAAGGTTTATCAAATGAGATATTCTTTGAAACATTTGATTATTTACACATATTTCATATTTTTACTAGCTTTACTTTATTGAAAAAATGAATACCGTCTGTTTTACAATCAATTCCACTTCATATTGTTATTTCAAGAGAACATTCTCATCTTACTGTTCATGAGCATCAAGTTATCTGATTGAAAATTTCCGATACTATTCGTGATGATTCATGTATTATTAGATTATTGATTCGATACAATTCTTTTAATCTAAAATCATGTAAATTGGTATCAATTAATTCAATGACTAGACTTGACAATATTGTTAAACTAATTGAAAGTCTTAATACATTTGTTATATTTGAAATTTTTCAACCAAAACGTCCAGACTTAAATGATAATGATAAATTGACTCGTATTATACTAATACAAATCATCTTCTCTTCGTTTAGTAGAACTTTCATATCTTTATCATTACTTAAACATATCAAACTTTACATCCATACCTTCAAATCTTATATCACTTTATTTACGAATTGTTGATTCATCTTCAACTGTATCCATTCATTTAGTTTTACGAGTTTTTCGTCTTTGTCATAAAATACGTTACCTATGCATTGCATTATACAATGACAAACGATTTGAAAATAATAATATTAAGTGAGTTGTCAATGCAATCAATATATTCGAAAAAACATGTTCAAAAGATAAATATTTTGTTTTGTTTTAGTATTTTAAATGATCTGTCACCTATGAATGAAAAGGATCTATCTAGTGATCTTTGCTCAATTTCGTATATTTTATATTGTATGCCTAATCTCAAGCGTTTTTGGTTTTATTTTGTCGTACAAACATCATCATGATCATTTACCAATCAATATTTTGATGGATATGTATGGCAACAAATGTTGGAACTTTATCTTCCATGTTTATCTAAATTTGAATTTCATATGACTATTACGAAAAGATTACCAAAATTAGATTTAAATTTTGTTGTTCATTCGTTTAATTATTTTGTCAACAAATATCTTAATTAGGACATGATTATTGATCGATGGATATATGGTCGTCGCCTTCCAGATAAATAAATTTGCTTCAAGAATTAAATAAGAGTATTGATATGCTACAAAACTACATTTTAATTAAAAGGAAACATTTATCTGAACACTTTTTCTGTTAGATGAACTTGTTATATTACGAACACTGAATTATACCAAAGGCAAATTTACTGCAAAAGTAAATGTTCCTTTTCTTACTTAGAGAATGTTCGAAACACGTTCAACAAGAAAAACAACAAATGATCATTATTCCTTTTATTCTGATATAACAAATTTGAAATTATACATAGAAAATGAAAGATCTAATGTTACTTGATCGTCTCCTGTATTTCAACATGTTACTTATCTTCTCATAGAAGTTCCAATAATAAAATCATCATGATAGAACAATTTATTCAATATTGGTAAGAAACAGAGGTTTTCTATCAATTTATTTAATCAGATATAATTCACTTTATATTATATAAGAATGAATGTGATTTGATTGTTCTAGTTAATTTTCGACGAACAACTAATGATAATAACAATGCACAACAAAATCTTACTTATCTCTCACATTTTGTTCATTTATTATATGTAACTGAACTAGAATCTCGATCAACATTTCATTTTAATCGATGGGAAGATATTCAGTTTATGCTAGAGTATGTTTATTTATTTTTAGAAAAGAAAATATTTCTAAAACTTTTTGTTTTAGAGCATGTCCAAATGTGATTATGTTTATAATTAGTACTTCATTATTACTCTTATCAAAACTAATTGATAACTCATCTCTTATTTCACTTTTCTAACCAATTAAAATGATCGAATCAATAACAAAAAACAAGTCTTTTCCTTCGAATTTTGCTCTCAAATTTGTTCAACGTTTTCCATCACTTAGTGATATTGAACTTGAAGTATATTCATTTGATAATTGTGTATTGCTTATTGATCTATTTTTCATTCTATTGGAACAATTATCTTATCTCAAAATCTGTTATAATCAAGATATATTACTTAATGATCCTTTTTCAAGCCTTTCTCAATAATATTATTGATGAGCAGATGATTCATCTAAGAAATAATGGTCAAGTTATTGAAATTTGGTTACCATGACTTGATTCGTGTAAAGATTTTTATTTAAATAAGAAAATTATTTTGAAAATAAAAAATATGTTTTTTGAGTCAATTTAATTGAAGTAACTAATTATTATCAAATAGAAATGTTCGATTTTGACAAGTAGAAAAATATCAAAATAAATTTTTATTTTTATTTTTACCTACGGTTAAATTGGTTTAAAAAACCTGTTAAGTAGTGAGAAAGGCAGTTGAATTTAGTTTCTCAATTATGCTGATAGAAGTGTCATTGAACTTTTAGCAGTGAAGATTCATCGTTTTTTGACAATGAGTTTTAGCTAAATTCATGTGGATGTTCGTAGGTATTAAACAATCATTGACTAATGGCTATTTAGAAAAAAAGGCGGATAGGTATTTTTCGAGAAACTCTTGATAAAAGCAAGATGGAGAGCTTCGGTTTGGACCATTGAGAAGACAAGATGAAGACGCATCAAATCGTATATTATAAGTTTTTTTTTAAGATCCTCTGTAAAATTTTCATAATCAAGTATCTAAAGAAAGTACTTGAAAATTCGTTTCTCATATAGCAAGAAAAATGCAAAAAAATGGTTTTTTCAGAGAAATTAATAGAAAAATTGATACAAAATTTCGAGTAGAATACCTATAAGTCCTGAATGAATAAATCTAAAAGTCTAGGCATCGCATAGTTTTGCAGATTTTCCATTAGTGATTCGAATACACATCTGATTACTGGAAATTCACGTTAGTCACCTTATGGAGTATCTTGATTTTAAAAAACGTCAGTTTTAGCCCTTCAAAAAAAATAGGTCAAATTGTTCTATAATGTACAGTTTGATGTATTTTTATCTCCTCTTTTCAATGGTGAAAACTGCAGCTTTCTCCTTTGTTTCTATCAAAAGTCATTCAAAAAATCCCACCCATTTTTTTTTGAAATAAGAATGAGTTTCCTCTTTCAAATAAATAAAAAATTATTAGAAAAACTTGATTAACAATGGAGTCATACATATTCATTCAGCAATAATGATTTTGGGGGCATCCTATATATGTGGTTCGAAACAAACATTATCTAATGTCTTCGTAAAATCGTTTATTACAATAGACTTCTATCAAACTTTTTCATTTACTATAACTCGTAGTTGCTATGTGAAACAATTAAAAATACTATTGACATGTTTTTATTAAAACTAATCAATCCAAAACTGTTAATAACGTATTAAGGTCTATGATTACGAATCTCATGTTTACTCAACCTAAAATTACATAGAACAGATACAACATGAGTAAATTTAGTACTCTTATAAAAATCATTATAAAGTTCTATATAAATGTGTCCCAAAATAGTATGATTTTTAATATTTTGATTATCATAGTCAATAGCTGTTTCTAGATTTTAGACCTGGCATAGTATTGATTGCGTATATTGTCATGTCAGAAAAATCGAAATGGAATAAAAGAAAAATATCAAGTAAGAGCTACAATAAAACAAATAAGTTTGACAAAAATACGATTCAGCAAAGGGTTTTACAAAGATACTTGATTACTTTAGTTTCGGATAAGAAATATATAACTCAAGCAATAACAAAGCTTTATTCATGCACAAGAACTATAAATGATAAAATAGAGTCATATCTTTTTTTTATATATGATAGAAGTTCAATGATACAAAAAAAGAATCGGGATATTCAACCAGACTGATTATTCTCATATATTTCTTTCTTATCATATATAAACGCTAGAAATTCTTTACATATCGCAGTGACAATATTTAAAAACAAGACAAACAGTTCATTCATGTGTTCAATCAACCGAAAATATTCAGGTGATTGTGACATCTATGCTTTTCAGTTAATTTTATGACGCACATTTAGAGTAATGTTTTCAGCATTATATGTGTTTTTTATTTTTGAAGAACTAGATTCGATTTCCAGAGAAATCTAGAACAGGAAAAAAAGCAACGCCACAATAAAACAAGCCAATAAAAGAAATATATTTGTTACACCAAAAGTTCAAGAAGAAAACATAAGGATTTATTGAAGAAAAAAGCGTTGAATTCGATTATTACCACTGTCCGACACATATAAATAATTTTCTGCATAATCAACTGCTAAACCATAGGTCATACTCATTAAGAATGGTGTGTGACCTGCTATTCCAATTGAACTTCCCGCAACAGTAATGCCAAACGTTGCATTTTTTTGCCACTTTTGAATTCTGTTATTGTAACTATCAGCAATATAAATTGAACCATCCATTCTTGAAATATGTATATCCGTTGGACGAAAAAGCTGATTAACAGCTGAACCTGGACCATTTCCGCCAGCTACTGTTACTCCAATGCCTGAACCACCCAAAAGAAATCGTTGTATGCGATGATTATAGCGATCAGCCACATATATATATGAATTAGATTCATCCAAAGCAAGAGCATAAGGTACATACAATGATAGACTATCAGTACCTGGTGTACCTGATGGTGATCCAGCTACAACTGTACCATTAATAGCATTTGGCGCCCATTTAGTTATCCAATGGCAAGAATAACTGGAAATATAAACATTGCCTATACTATCAACAACAATTCCTGTTGGGAAATATAACCAAGACATTGAACAGTTACTGTAGGAGATGCCACTTGGTGGAATTGTTTTATTCGTTGGCCATATATATGCAAGATGAGCATACATGAGAGTAATATAAATGTTTGAAGTTCTATTGTCAAGAGTAAGAAATGAAGGCCAATTGCTATAACTTTTAAGTACTTGACCTGTGCGATTATTGAGATTGAATATAAAGAACTGGTTAGTATTGTCTCCGACGTACAATGTGTTATTGTAACCTAATAAAATGTCTGCTGGAGCGCTTAATAGTGTTTGATTGGTACTAGAACTGCCATTACACGCACCAGCTATGGTTACACCAAAGGGCATTGGTAAAAGGGTTGTATCTAGGAATGAAAATGGCAAAATAAACAACAATTCCAAATTTTATTAATCTCATCGTTAACCCTAGACAAGAATTTCTTTTAAGTGAATAGACTCTGATATAGGTAGAGATATATTTTCGTTCATTCTATAGTTTAAACTTTCTACTGCTTCATAGAATAAACAATGGTGTTCTTACTGTCAAAAACTGTTGGTAAACATTTTGGCCAGTTTCCATAACAATCTGTCGTACAAGTAAGATTCAAGTCTGATCGACATGCATCGGGCTGTGTACATGTATCATTTTCAAACAATTGTAGAGCACAGACAGATCCATTCCAATATGTATGTACTGGACATTGACATTTATTTGTATTTGTAGAACAAACTTCATATCGATTTTCTGGACATGCTTGACAAAATTGATTATGGATTGATAAATAAAGATTTGATGAAATACGAACAATGCCAACAATAGATGTTGATGAAGATGATGAAATAATGGATCCTGTTATAGAATCACCTTCAAACAGACGACATCGTTTTGAAATTAAATCATAATCGAATATGCGACAAGATGGTAATTGATTACATGCTGCTGAACAGAGAGTTTTAGTTTGAATTGTTTCCGTTACTATTAACTGAATTTGATTGTTCGGTGCATATTCTAGTCCCATAGAAGTTAATTCCATATTTGACTGATAGATAGAACCTATCAATGAAACACTAGCGATCATTAGAACAATAAGTAACATCTTTCCGTTTTTTCAGAGCTAAAAGACAAAAATACGACCTGATCAGCTATCATTAAGAATTCATTAGCAATAGAAAAGAAGAAAAACCTTGTTGCATATGAAATGAACGAAATGGTAATGTATACTTAAAAAATTAACTGCAAGAAATTCTATTCTATTATTGCGCGTTTCACACATGTGAAAAGTATCATTTCAATTGTTATGTGACAATGTTTCTCTATTACACATCATTCTGATGAATAAAACATACTTGTCAGTGAATTATTAAACTGTAGTTGAAGACATTTACACTTTTTATAATTTGAAATGAAAGACATACATAGAGTTTACAATTTTATTTGACACTTTGATTATTAGTGAACTTTAAGAAATATGCATTATTTCCATGTGTGAAAATTATCATTTGCTTAATTAATTATTTTCAAGTATATATCATCATAGCTTATCTTCTTCTCAATAGTGTGTAATCTTTATTTGAACATATCAGATTTAGTGTCATATGTACATATATGTTAGTTATACAATTAAAATTACAACTGAAACAGTTAATATCAGAAAGCTCTTCACTATCTATTCAAGTTCTAGGATAACTGATTGTCAATGTTTTTTTTTTGACAACAAAATACGGTGCCCATTACATCTTGAACAGCCATTTTGTCTGTACAAATAACTACGTCATGCGTTTTTTTTTCAAGCATCTATAAACGAATAAAACAATATATTTCAGTGCATTCATTCATATTTCTGCAATCGATGTCTTTTCTCCTATAGTAAACAATATTTAATTATGTTTTTATTACAAGTTCTATAAAAGTGATTATTCATGTAGCGTGTTAATTGCTTTTTGCACAAAAATGGAATCTGTCTAATTTAAATACCATTAAGGGCAATGAAAAATTGCTTTTTCTACTCATTATTTAAAAATAATACTCTCATCTTCGTAGGAGTTCCTTGTCGTATGAAGCTAATATTTTTTTTAAATAAGATGGTTAAACATAAACAAGATCTTCAAATGAACAGAAATATCAATGAATTTTGACTTAAAATTCTATCTTACATTTGAATTGGAATTCAATTTCTGTTGTAAACGATGATTTATATTTTGATTACTATTGAAATCAGTCAAACAGATCGAGTTCTATAAGCCAAGCAGTTAAATATTCATCTATTTTTATCTCAAGTTAATCCTGTTAGATTAAATTTACTTCATTGTTTGAATTGTCATGAGATTATATCTATTTTTCTTGTTGATTTGATACAGACATATAATTTATAATGAAAGTTTCTGTTTATAACTGTATTTATTTATTTGCTTATTATATTATAATCAAAAAAAATAAAATAAAATAAAATAAAATATGAGTTAGTTTGGTTTGTCAGTGCATGGAATGCATGCAGAAAAACAAAAAGAAAACGCTTTGATTTTATAATGATTTTTTTTTGTTTGATAAGTGAGATACTTTTTTTTTCCTCCTTGAAACAGGTTAAGTATTTAAAGACTGTCACCCATTTTAAATTGCCGAGTATCCTTTTTATTATTAAATGATGTTGATTTTTGTTTTGTTGTAGTAGTTATTGTTTCATCACCAGAATTATTATTTGAATCACCAGCAATATGAGTATCTAATGGTTCATTCTCCCCATCAGAATATGCTTCTATTTTATTAAAACCTTTTCGTCGATTATTCCAATTACTAAAAAATGAACTACTACTAGTATCATGATTTTCCACATCATTGAGGAGTACATTCAAACGATGAAGTTTACCTAAAAAGAAATAAACATTATATTGAAAATGTTTGTTTGAAAAGAGTAAGCTTTCATACGTTTATTCTTTATTCGAACAATACATCCAATAATCACAGAAACAAGAATAGGAATGGCGAAGGCAGCCATTATAATTATAGAAATACGAAAATTTTTATCACTGAAATTAATTCGTTTACTGAATGTTTGTGTCGGAAGATCTAATAAATGGAAATATAAATTGAAGAATAAAAGGAAATGAATCTTTTCTTTTCTTTTTTTTTCTTTACCTTTTGGTGTTGATAACTCAAATTTATGTAAAGCATTACTAGGTGATGTTGCTAATTCACCAACATAAATTTCACGAGCGTTAGCTGATACAGTTATATCATGTGGAGAATTTAAATTCTTTTATAAAAAAAAAGAAAAATCATTCATTGTATTTTTTTAACATTAATTATAAATGAACTTACTGGATTTGAATCAAATGATGTTAATATATCTCCATTTTGTGCATCAATCATATAAACTTTTTTGTTCAATGTTTGTTCTCCACCGGTAACAGCAAATAAAATTGTTCCTAAATAAAATTATACAATATATTTTAGTTAAATTTTTTATTTATCTTATAGATATCAAACCATTTGTATTTGGTGCAAATTCAATAGCATATATTGCACCAATCGTTTCTTTTTTTTCAACACGTATTTGTCGTTGAAATTCTCCTGTATTTGAATTAAAACATTGAATACGAAAATTTTCTCGATCAGCACCACACAATAATTGTGCATCTTCATTCAATGCTATTGAATGAACAATATTCCATTCATTAGGCATTGGAAAACCATCATCTATAAAGATTTAATAGATTTTTTTAAAAACAAATAAATAAATTCTAATGAAGCATTTCAAAAGAATTCAATTCAGTCAGATGAATGACATAGTTATTTTTATTTTCTTCTTTCAATCAAATCAATTCTCAGAATAATCGAATAAGGTTTTTTTTTCTTTGTATTTATATTCATCAAATTTAAAACCCCATCAGTAACACGAATTTTTAATTTTTTAATCATTCAACTTAAAGTTATAATTAAACTTGTGAGAATCGATTTGTTTATGTCAAAATCAATAATATTGTTTATCATGCAGAAAAAAATACGTATTTAGTTATGAAATTAATAAAACTTACTATCAAGCTTTCCTGTCATTGGTGAACCCCATTCAGTAATATATTCTCCTTTGCGATTAAATTTAATAATACGACTATTGCAGTAGCTATCAAAAAATGAAATATAAATTTTTGTGAATGTCTTTTTTTTCCTTTTCATAGTATTTACCCATCGGCAACAAAAAAATCTCCATTTTTCATAACAGCAACATCAGCTGGTCGACAAAGTTGACTTGGTCCTGAACCATGTTGAAACATTTCTCCAACAACCAATGCTGGATGATTTAAATCATTTGGTTTAAACATAAATACTTGATGCATAGCAACATCAGTCAACCAAAAATTTCCTTCATGATCTATTGTTAATCCATGTGGCATATAAAATTTTTTAGCACCCCATCGATATTTTGTTTGTCCTGTACGTGTATCAACATGAATAAGAACATCATCTTCAATTGGACCGAAATTTTCATTACGAAAACGGTATCCATCAAAATATCTATTGTTACAAATAAACAAAAAGAAAGAAATTAATCATTGGAAAAAAATTTTAACATTACTTAAATTCCCATTTTCGAGATCCACGATGAAATACAATAAGTTCATTATTTGCATTATTTAATGCAATGCCACCGATTTGACCAAGTTGAGCTGGCAATGATTTAACATCAGGCCAATTTTCAACATTTTTATATAGATTAGCTAAAATTACGAAAAAAAAGAAACTCGTATCAATTTTCGATGTTTTTTATAATTAATAAAAATTTTTTCATGCAAAATAAAGCAATACAATGGACGAGACAAACAAACGACAATATTCAATTCTCACATCTCATTAATTTTGCATTATGCAATTTTACTGTTTGTCCTTTTCCATATGTTAAATGATTTGGTAATAAATAATCATAATTTTGTGCATCAACATATTCATATTCTGGTAAACCAAGATGTGATAAGATTTTATTTACATCAAAATTATTTGTTCCTCGATGACGATGACGCATATTTTCGATTTCATCCATATAATCTTCATAGAATTGATCATCATTTACTAATTACATTCCGACATTTATCTTATTATTAAAAACAAACAAAGAAAAATTATAACATTAATATTACCCGTAAATGAATTCATTGCATGTTCAGCATGAGCATGATGACCATTATGTATTCCACCAATATCAGCTGGTTTAAGCGGAGGAATTTCACTGTCTGGTGGAATAAGACTAAACAAAAAACATAGAATTATTTAAATATGAATATGATATAAAGACAGATTCTATTTTCAAAGGTTTTAGAATAATTACTGTAACATGTTTTGCTAACAAGGAAACTACTCGACATGATACCTTATGTTTGAGATGAAACTCCAGTCATTACGTAGCGTCTGTTGAGACTAGAAGAAACCTAGAAGGTCTCTTCGCAATGCACTGCACTTTTAGAGTGATAGCCGTTACACTGAGTTTTTTTAATATCTTTGACACAATATGTTTAAATATCGTGCCAAAGGTGACAAATCCAGTGTAATAATCATAACTACAAAAAGACAGCGCCTGGAGAAAAATCCTTATAGATTTCTTATAGTTTCAACAAGTCCTAAGTTATGACTGGGGCCTCATCTCAAATGTAAGGTATCAATTCGGGTGATTCTTTCGTAAATGTAAACGTAGATCTATATGTCGCTAACGGGAAATGACATTTTTTTTTGGATCATATTTTCAAAAAAGTATATTATTCGATTATTTATCGTTTTTTTATGACTCTTAAGCCATATTATACTATTGAAATAAGAATTATTGCTATGCTATCGAAATAATCAAGACTTGAGAACGAAGTACCCTGAAAAACCGTAGCTAGTTAGATCGACTCTAACTTCTTTTAGCGAATAAAATAAAAGTAAAGTTTGTTGCGTTTTATCGATTCAAAAACAAAAGCACTATCTACAATAATTTAATACTCATTACTTCTAGTATAAGACATTTTATGAAGCCCAATGACTAGTCATTTTTTTTTATTTAATTCTTTACTTAGTTAAATTAGTTTTAAATAATTTACCTTGCCACGTGGTTAACTGCATTACCCCAACACATTTGAATTGGAGGTGGTTCACTTTTTGTTTCATCATCTGATGTTTTTGATGGTTCATATGAATACATCGCATATACATTGCACATTTCATCGTTATGCGTTCCTCTAGTATTTCAATAAATACTATATTATAAATCCAGAGTGTTCAAAAGTCATAATCACGTAACAAATGCATAGAAATATTTTCTCGAATTTTCATCATTATTATGAATTTCATATCATTAAAATCTTACATTGTGACTCTACTAAACACTTATTCTTATATACTCTGACGAAAAGAAAGAAAAGTATCAGTTTTTGTGACAGATGAATTATAATATATGCTAACACACTCATTTTCATGTATATTAAAATTTTCGAGAAGTCACAAATAACTCGTTTTGAAGAATCTCACTATAGTTCAATGCATTTAAAATACGTAAAACTGCCAATAATATCAATAATAATTCAAGTAAACATCGAACAAAACTTTATTTGTTTGTGTTACAATTAAAAGTGCTATCGATTCTCTTGAATTCTAATATACTTGATCTTTAATAAAATGATTACGCATCTTTTGTTTCAAATAGAAAACTAAAAAACAAATTTTAGATTCAACTAGTTGTATAATATGCATTTATTAGATGATTATGATTTTTTTTCAACATTCTATATATTCTAAAAAAGAAAACAACGTACCCAACAGTAATAATTCTATCATCATTATTATCGTAGACACATTGACCAATAATATAATCATTTTTTCGAATTTCAACAGCTGATGGAAGTGGATAGAATGATTGAGGCCATTGTGGATCACCTTTGACAATTTGTGAAATTTTTCCGTCACGCACTCGATATAACGAATTAACTCGTGCTATTACAACATATGAATAGAAACATATTTGTAGGGAGAACAAAAAAAACTACAAACCCCATTGATGAGCATGAACACGAGCAGCAAAGATAGAAATCGGTGGTCCGTTGTATTGACATGAAAAAGAAGTTCGAATAGCTAAAACGAGATGAAAGATACATTTTACGAATTTCATTTAACGTTACATTATATAAATAAAGAACGAATCACTTTCTTCATTTTTCTTACTTTGTGTTTTTGGTTTCAGATAAATCTCATTGGTACCACTTAACATGACACCTGCATGATATTTACATCTAGAATACAACATCATTTTATGAAAAAAAAAAGTGAATATTTTATTGGAACCAATTTGATCTTACGGTTTTCGAGTCATAATTAATTGATTTCCAGAATTATCATTTTTCAAAATTGCAAAATAATGAATATTAACAACAATATATTTATATGGAGTATTACGTCCGACAGCGATACCGACATCTAAATTGTACAATATAAACTGTCTCTCGTTTTAATTATGTTAATAAAATCAAGTATACCTTTCGGTAATGTCATTGGAGGTGCATTTCGACCCCATCCATGAATAATCATTTGTTCACTATTGCATGGCCCACCTCCAGTCCTACATAAAATAAATCAATCTCAAAAGGCATCATAGGAAAAAATAACAACAGAAACAAACCAGAATGGTTTATCAGAACCTGGTTGTGAACAAGCATATGTAAGCATATGATGAGCTGAATTCATATTGATCAATGGTGAATATCCAACTGAATTGAAAATTATTCATCACTCTATAACTAATAAAAAAAAAAATTATTAACATACCAATGAATAATTCTTCATCGGGTAATCTATATTGACGAAATGCATATTCATCTTCCTAGGAAAAAAAAACGATGTAAACATTTACAGATGAAAACAAAAAAACAATTTTTTTTATGAGTAGATGTAAACCTGTTTTGTTTCATAATTATTCATAGTAATATTAATAGTAAAGAGATCGTCTTCATTTGGAGTACCGGCCGAATAATCGCAATTGATAAAAGGAACAAGAACAATAAAAATACTAAGGACAATGGTTATTTCAATATGAATACTGTTCATTTTTTTTCAATTGTTTTTGTTTGTTTAGTAGAAACAGAGCTTAAAACCATCAATAGATGCTATTAATTTAAGTAAGTTTTTCTTTATTTTTTTTTTACACTTACGTGCAGTTTTGTTTTCAGTCACAATATGAAGAGAAACAAGTTGAATACAGAACGGAAAAAAATTATGTTATATCTGAAATTAATCAAAATAAATGGTGACTATTGATGTCAGGTGAATAAAAAAGAAAGAAAAAAATCATCGGTGTACATAAATAACTATCTTACTAAAATCATTTATCATTAATCAAATAAGCAAAACTAGAAAGAAGTAGATTTTGCACAAAATCATTTTTTTTCTTTGATGATTGCATTACTGTTGAATTTGATTGAATTAAAGAGGACGAAGTAGATTGATCACACATTTGTCGTAATAATGAAGGATCAGATTCCGAATTGGTTGCTGTAGAAGTTTTTGTTTTGGATGAAGTTTGTGATTGTTGTTCGGGTGTAGATTGTTGTTGAGTAATAATGCGTGTCCAAGCTTGATGATTATTAGTAGACAAAGTAGATGGATCAGTTAAAAGAGCTGATGAATAAAGTGAATCGAAAAAATCACTTTCAACAGATGGGACAACATTAGATGTAGGTATTGATTGTTGCTGGGGATTATTAGATTGCTGATAGTGATAAGAACGTCCGGCTGCACGAAGACGTTCACGTTCATATTGTTGACGAGTAAGTGTTTGAATATTAATTGTATTTGGTGAAGATGTTAATGAACTATTAGTATTGCTCATATTATTATTAACTGCTGCTAATCGTCGTACATTTGATAATTGTGTTAATAAATTAGTAATTGGATCATTTCCATTAGCAGATGTAGGTAATCCTGATGATGTATCAATTAGAATATGTTGACTTACAGGTTCATTACCTCTTCCTAATGCACCTCGTCGAATAGTTGTTCTTAATGATCCACGTCGAAAACCAGCACGAATTCCAGAATCAATACCAAAATTATAATCTCTAGTCGATGATGATTGTCTTGAATAAGTATGTGTTTCTCCCCCAGCTGATGATGGTGTGTTTCCTTGTGGATCCTGATGATCATTAGTTATATGTGATATAAGATCTGCAGTAACTAAATTTGGTTCACCATTAACCATAGCAGCACATATTGGACAAATAACTTCATATAATTGTTGAGTTTTACCATGTTTTATTTGAAGATGTTGAAATAAATCAATATTTTCTATATGATGATCATTCGATGAAGATGATTCATTAAGAAATGGTAATGTTAAACCCATCTCACCACAAAATGGACAAGTTAATGATTGAGGATACTCTGATGTACATCGTTCACCCTGATAATATAAATCAAAATCTTGACGTGTTAAAATACCTTAAATAAAATAATAATGTATTATTAAAATATTTTATAGTTGAACAAAAATAATTTACATTGCATAGGATGTTCTCTTGTATGATGACTGGATGTTTCACCTTGTTCGTAGCATGTGGAACACAAATCATAATCATAGCAAATTAGACATTTGAATTGTTTCGAACGAAAATTACTTTTACCACATGCGTCACAACTGACACCTTCATGGGCTGACATAATCAAAACAAAAACTAATGTAAAAAGAACGTTGTGCTGTCATGCATCAGCAGATTGCATATTAAATGAGAGAAAGCTACCATAATGCTTGAAGAACATCAACCAATCAGAAAATACCTCTTTGACGATGACATGTTGGTCTAGTCTATCCAGCAAAAACAACCATGATAAAATTACAAGATTGCAAACAAGCAGTCTTGTATATACTATTATTAAATCATAAGTTACAAAAAGCCAATAAGATCTTTGTTTTTGTTTAAAAAACGACTGATAAATCTCAAAAACAAAAATCATATGACCAATTGTAACTTTTGCAAGCCATCTATTTTTGGTTTTATGGAAAATTGCGTTTCTTTTTCCCATTGAAGTATTATATGAAGAATCATATTCGTAATATTGATAGGTTTTCTCGAAAAGTATTAAATCCTTATAAGACGTTTGAAAGAAGATCTTGTCAGATATTCTAAACTCAGGATATAAAGATTTGAAAAATATTTGTAAGTTAATAGTTCCTTAGACGATATGAGCTCAGCACAAGTAATATTAGATGTCACTCTTGTACTATCAAGAGAAACGATCTAACAACTGCATTTAAGTCTTAATTTCAAAAAATTACTCTTACAAAAGAAATGATAGAGCAGTAAGACAAATTGTGTTATAACTATGTCTAAGTACAGGTAAAGGAAGTAACTCTTACTTATATTATAAAATGGTCATTATTAAGTTCTAAAAACCATAAAATAGAAGACTTTAATACATGACTATAGTTCAGCGGCGGATCTAGGATTTTTTTGATATGGGGCGATTTTGACCAAAAATCGGGTTTTGAAGTTCATTAGTAGTAGTATGCACTCTATTTTTAAGTCTTTTCTGCTGGGAAAAATCGAAAATTTTTTTTTCGAATGGGGGCGATCGCCCCAAGCGCCCCCCCTAAATCCGCCACTGCTATAGTTATAAAATTTAAATAGTATCCGTTTCATATTACAGTTTCTTATATTAATTTACTCCGCTGAGACATCGAATTTCTTCTATACCTATATGATGTCCTTCAGCTGAAATAATTAAATGCTTATGAAATGCGAGCTCGAGTAGTTGAAGCAGATTGGATGTTTAACTTATTTGATGAAACCAAGGGATGATATTGAATTTGAGCACTAAATTAATTCTATACCAGATAAGCAGTCAAATATATGACTTTTGAGTTTGTAATTAAAAAACGCAAATGAGAATGATAGAAAAACTTATCGGTTATGTCATTCTTGATAAATGAACTACGTAAATGTGTTTGATAAATCTGTCACAAATCATGTATTTATCCTAATCATATAGATGAATCATGGCTTTTCCCTTTACCATTGCACACTAGGCACTGAGACAACAAAATACTTCGTCTTATCATGTGATTTATTTTTCACGTGATGAAAATCGTACGAAATATGACCATGACGATATGGTATGTTATAATTATTCCTAAAAATGTGAAATTTTTTTGTCGTCTACCTTTATTGGGTCTCACCATCAACTTAGCAATGTTCTTATTCGTTTGCTATTTCAAAAACACTTCTTTTCCTTTTGAAACGATCAGTAAATCTTATTTCATAAAAATACCTATGAATAAGCATAGCAGCAACGTCATATTTTTTTAGTATGAAGAATATGATTTGTCTTCTATGATTCACTATGGTTATGTAATAATAGCATTTGAGTCTTTGAAAACGTATGATGTTTCTGAGAATTCATCAATGAAAAATTATTATGAATCGTATTAGTTGAAACCAAATGAATTCTTATTTTCAATGGAATTTGTTTTCGTATAAATAGATTAATGTTCAAAGAGTATCAAAATGAAAAAGCTCATACTTTTTGCTTATTTATTAAAGTAATGAATATCCAACTCTTTATTACAGTAGACTTATATGATTCAATAAATGATTTGATCCTCATTTTGTTTAGATTTCACAAGAATTCTTATGATTTAAAAATTATATTGAATATTTGAATAATCAATACAAACACGAAAATTTTCCATTGCTTAATAACGTTAGCTAAGCAAATTTTGTCTATTTAACATATAAAATATATGGAATGCAGTATAAGACAAACAGTTGAGTTTTATTTCAAGTTATAGAATATGTATGCTAACGTAAACATGACGACTTATATCATAAAAGAAAAGAAAATGAAATAAGCTGAAGTTCAGAAAAATCAATGTCCTTGTATATATGGATAAGATGATTTTGAATTTGAAATTCATCTGCCACCTCCAAAGAGCTCACGAAGATTTGGAGTGCGTTTACATCTAAACTTTGAACTATTCATAATAATAGAGAAGGAAAATATTCAAATGTACCCTTTGATAAATTCTTCTTTGGTTAATTTTTTGTCTTCATCAATACCAAGTGTATTGAATATACTAGCTGCTAACTTTTTCGGATCAAGATGATCTTTTTGATCAGTTCTACCTACGATAGTTAACTAAAAATAAAACAGAATTAATGCATATTTTAATAAAAAAAAACTAAGTTTGAAGAACAAAAAAATTTTAAAAAAAAATCATACTGAAGCCGAGAGAAAAGCAGCTAATTCATTGACATCTACTCTTCCGTCACCTGAAACATCACACCTAAATAGTGATAAGAATTCTTTTTGATTAAGAGAAAATGTTATGAAATATTCTCACATTTCGAAAACATAATCAAGATGACTATCTATATCATGTGGTGCACTCACTGCAACAGCCAATAAGAATTCATTAAAATCAATTGTACCATCATGATTTTTATCAAAAATAGCAAATACATGACTTTTATAAGCAAAAGAAAAAAAAAATTCAAAATCTTGTGTAAAAAGTTACATTGACATACTCGCACAAGACACTTGTTTTATCTTTGTCATCTTTTATTTCTTCGTAATATTTTACAAATCCTGCTTTGTCTAATCTACCTGTTGGAAAATCATTCCAAAAAGCCTAAAAAAAAACATTGAAAAAATAGAAAATGTGAAAGAACTTAGAATCTAATAATAATATGTAACACTTACACAGTGCAAATCTCTAATTTCTGAAAGAGAAGAACAAACAAAAATGCATGATATGATTTGTTGATAATATTTTCTTACCGTCTTCGCTAAGTCTCGATCTTTTTTTTAGTATAGCAATATCTAAATATAATTCTTTTTGTTTTTATTAAATTAATATATAAACAAGACTAGAGGAAACCTCGTGAAGTTAATTCTTTAGATGTTCCACCTTCGAGAGGGACGCTGTTTCCCATGAGGAATATTTTTCTTGATTGATATTAAACGAAGTAAAAAGAAACCTGAAAATAAAATAATAGACATGTGAATAGAAAACTATTCTATATTCACAAGAGTAATACAAAAGAATAAAATACAAATCTGATTGATTGAAGACGAAATTCTTCTATCGTGTGCATCAAAACACACAACAGTTTGATAGATTGTTTCAATATTTTTCTCTTATGTTCAATCGCACATTAGTAATAAGAAAAAATAGATCGATTGTAAGTTAAAACTGAACAAACACAAAAAAAAAGAGTAATAGCACAGGAAAATGTATTGATCAGAGTAGAGACTAAAGAACTCATCGGTTTTCATATAAGCGTTGTTTAAGTAACGCAACTAGATAACAAAGACTCATGTACAAGTTTCTCTTCGTTGTTTTTTATGAAAGCAGTAATGGTATGACGAACGGAATTACGGCTCTGTCATTTCAATTTATATGTCTTTCCATTATTTTTTTTGCTTTTGCATCAGCTCTTCTTTCTTTGCCTTGATTTTTTCTTTTTCTTCGACTTATTTCTGAGTTCATAAATGACATCCAAATTTTTATTATTACTCCTGGTAACAGTAGAAATCCAGTCATGTCAAAACTGAAAGCTAAATTAAATTATTGAAGAACCTTTTACATGTTGCTTTATTTACTCCCTGGATATCTTTTTGAAGCCTTTTGCAGTGCGAGAGTTGCTTTGCGTGTGTGTGTGTGTGTGTTTTGATGAATATTTGAACTTCCAATATTCATTTATTGAACTGAACTTTTAAGTTTGACATTGATAAAATAATACAAATATAGTAGTTCTTACAAATTTTATTTTCTAATATTTATTCATAAGAATTACAATTTTAAAGTGCAATATGACATATAAGAACAGTAAAATGTAAAATCATATTCGATTTGTAATTCATATTAAAAAGAAATACTTTTACAATAAAGAATCTCGTTTTAAAAGATCTTGACAAAAATCACGAGCTTTTTTGACCAGTATTACTTCAATATTCTCAATTCGATCAAGTTGTTCTAAGAAAAGATTGATAAGATTTTTCAAATGCAATCCACTCTTATCTAAATTCATGGTCGATGATAAATCTGGATTGACAATAGATTTAGGAGGATTGTAATTGTATTCCATTTTACCATTTAATACATAAGCAAGTCTGACAAGTTCATGTAGAGTAATATTAGAAAGAAAATAGAATTTGTATGCATCACAACGTCGTCTAGCAGACGATGTCGATTCTAATTGATATAGAATAGAAGCTATTAATTCACGGATAAGACCATCTCGATTATCATATGGTAATGTAAGAATATATTCGAGATGTTGACGAATTAAATCTTGTCGATCAACCAAAATACATTTAGTTAAATCAGTAATTCGAGAACCAAGAAAATATTTATCGAATTGAGATAGTTGAGCTAAAATTGATAAAAAGAAACAAAATTTTCATAATGAACTATTTGCTTTTGAAATATTTTCTTACTGTAAAGATAAAGTTCAGTAAGAAGAAGTTGTGGTCCATGATAAAGAGCAAGTTTTCGTCGATCTGCAAGCCAAATTGTATGTTTTATAACTAATGATTCTTCTGTTTTCTTAAATAGTTGTATAAGATGGTTGGTAAATTCATCGATATCAAGTTGATCTTCTAGTATGAGCAATTCAATGTCAATATCGGATGCTGGTGAACCTTCTCCTCTTCCAAAT